GAATAAAAGGGTTTATTTTTCAAGGAAACTGCTTAACCAATCAGTGTATGCAATGCATCTTGTGCAGAAGTGAGTGACCTCCTCACTTCCGGAAATAAATTTCCAGAAATTTATTTCTATTTAGGAACAAAACCTTAAGTTATGAAACACTCTAACAGCACGTGTGTGTGTGTGTGTGTGTGTGTTACCATAGGGCACAGTATTGTAGTGGATGCTCAGATACACTATAGAACTCTGCAGACAGACCGCCTCCTGAAGTTTCTGTGACAATAGGGATGGAGTCTAATGCAGCACGAGCGACAGTGAGCCAGCTCCCACGAAGAGAGCTGCCCATCATTTAGGAGAAAACAGACCTTTGCTTTCAGAAAGTTGAGTTAGTCTGAAAATCTAAAATACAATGATTGCACCACTTCGTACGTTTCATTCATTGTCCCTGTCATAACTTGTTAGTGATGACTTACTAACCAGCTCTTTTAGTTTTATCCCTAAACTCTGTCTTCAGAGTCTAAAGAGAACATTTATCAGCTCTGTTTTTTTATAGCAAATCTATTCAAATCTATGCCTTGAGGGGAGGACAATGAGTAAACCATAGTCCTTGCCAAAAAGGCTACCAGGGTGATAACTATGTAGCATAATGTCAGTTTGTGAAAAGGGCATTTTATCAATAAACAGTGAGGTGTGTGTGTGTGTGTGGGGGGGGGAATTCACTTTATTCCACAACTTTCAGCCTCTTCTCATTACAATGTAAGATGCTCATCTTACTTTATGTAATAAATTATGTCCCAGGTAAGGAAGCGGCAGCTCATGGGGAGGTGAGGGGAGGAAAGGAGGAAGGTTAGGGGCCCTGGCAGGCAGAAGGCAAGCAGTGGCCTCCTCTGGGAAACTTTGCTTTGTTGTCCAGGAATTCTGGGAATTTTCTCAAGCTTCGAGGCTGCCCTGAGGAAGCAGTTTGACCTTTGTGTGGCTGGTTGGTTTCAGACATGGGATTCCAGCCTGGAGACTCCCCGCTTGCAAAGCCTCTGAATGTTCCCTTTCTAGTTTTTTGTCTCTATATCCCCTCTGTTGAAAAAAGTATCATCTGGGGACCTCCATAAATAAACCACTTTACATTTTTTAAGTCAGTAAAATACAAGCAAATTAGAGCTGTGGAACAGTCTTTAAAACTATCACCATTATTTTCTTTTCTAGTGACAGATATTTAATATCGATCCTAATATGCTGCAATGTCCTCAATGCTCAGTACCCTAAAAACCAACTTTCCATTTGTCCTATGAATGATTTCCAGAAATTGGGTGCACTAGAGCATGCTTGAATACATTACCAAATTTATCTGTATTTCCTGTCATTCATTATTATTTTTTAAAGAAAAACATAATCCCCAAATAATTCATGGAGTATAATAAAGTCAAGATTCTTGTGGCATTAAATACTAAGCTCTATGTGCATTACCCAAATAAATACCTTTCTATAATTGTAGTTTACAACACCCTTGAGTATATAAACTGACTGACTTGTTTATCCCCAATTCTATCCACATTTCTAGACCTAGGCAGGCACTTAGGAAGTGTTCAATAAGTCATTGTTTAGGGAATTATACAAGTCCAAGAGAAATAGGATTTAACTGTACATGTTTGTTCTATATTGAATGCTCATGTCCTCCCCAAATTCATATGTTGAAATCTTAGCTCCCAAAGTGATCTTATTAGGAGGTGGGGCTTTGGGGAAGTGATTAGATCATCAGGATTGACATCATAAATGGGATTAATGTCCTTACAAAAGATACCCCAGAGAGCTCCTTTTCCCCTTCCACTGTGTGAAGACAAAGTGAGAGCTCAGCAGTCTTTGAACCAAGAATTGGCTTCTCACTAGACACTGAATCTGTGGGAGCCTCCAGAACTGAGAGAAATAATTTTCTGTTGTCTTAGAAGCCACCCACTGTATGATATTTTGTATAGCAACCTGACTGGTCTAAGCATATTTTTATACATTTAAATGTTAGTTGTCTTTGACTTACTTTTAATCTTTTTTTTGACTGCCTTAGAATTTATCCAATGGAATTAAGAAAACATTTGAGCCTGGCTGATGTGACTCAGTGGTTGGGCGTCCACCTATGAACCAGAGGGTCACCGTTAGGTTCGTGGTTGGTTGGGGCACATGCCTGGGTTGTAGGCTCAATCCCCACCAGGCGGTGTGAAGGAGGAAGCTGATAAATGATTCTCTCTCATCATTGATGTTTCTCTCTCCCTCTCTCTTCTGCTCTGAAATCAATAAAAATACATATAAAAAAGAAAACATTTGAATATTTTACATGTAATATTAACAGTCTATTAATTGTAACATTATTAACAAATCTATGCCATGTCAGTCCTAATACACTTACTTTGCACATGGGTAAACAGAATGAAATCTATTTTATATGAAGCACGTTACTTAGAATTGAATTCAGCCTCTTATCACCATCCAACCTCAAGGCTCAGTCTATGTGGACAACAGCTGGCTTGGGCAGAGATAAACAAGAGCACATTAAGTGGGGACCAGTCCCTCGCTTGTCACTATGTGGCCGTGGAGAGATGTTATCTGTCTCTCTAGAAGTTTGCTTTCTTCAGTTATATGATTTAAAGAACACTGAGCCCCAACTCCTATGGTCTTAGAGAACCTTGGAAAAAACAAATGAACATTTTTTTACTCTCAACTTGATCAACAACTCTGTAATTCTAAATTCCCATGAGGCCTTGGGTTTGACTTTCTGGGATTCAGTCCACCGTCTGGAACTAGGTGGTTTCTTTATTTGATAAATTCCCTGGCTAAAGTTTCAAGGAGACTGGCAATTATTCTCGAGGAAATGCTATCTCTTTATCTTAAGAAAAGCTTTTCATACCAAATTCGAAGTGTTCTGGTTGATCTAAAATGTTAGGAGCGGAAGTATTTGCTGTCAAAGAGTCTGGTCCCCTTATTGGTGGAAAAGAAAAACAATCTATTTGAATCATGAGAGGGATCATAGAGAGTTTCCATGCCAAAACCCCTCATTTTCTCAGATGAGGAAATGGAGGTCCAGAAAGGTTAACTGAAGTAATACCAAGTGCTTGCTCTGCACTTGGGGCGGGAACAGGATCCTTGGTTTAGGGAGTGAAACATGACTCCTAAACCTTGCCTGGTTATAAATTGCGCTTTTAAGTCCCTGATTATATGCAGGGTCTGTGAGTTTGGCGGAGTGTTACTGTTCACAAGTGTATCTTTTTACTTAAGGATTAGAAAGTGTGTGCTGACTTAGCACAGGTGAGCTTTGATCTTGCCCAAGGTCACCGTCGAAAACTGCGTCTTTTATGAAAGAGGAACAGGAAAATCCAGTATGAGATTTCACATACATATTTATTCTCTTAATAAGCGTCACATTTACCAGTGCTGTAGCTTTCACTCCCCCTGTTAATGATCTGATTGTGTGGGCCTCTCCACCACCATTTCGGTTTCTCTGAAATGGTATCAGAGATGGTCTAAGTCTCAGTCGGCCTCACTCAGTCATTAGATATTTGACTATATTCTGTATCATCTATTTGATGTTTAACATGTAATTCTTGCTTGCTTTCTTTTCTGTGTGCAGGCGAAACCTCTACAGCATTTTGTCATCTCTTTTTTGGTTCCTTTTCTCCTACAATCAGTTGTTTCAATCACCAGTTGCTTGACCATCCTCGAATAGGGGCTGTTTTGGAAATTTTAGCTATTCCCCTGCTCTTTATAATGGACATGTGTGTTTTGAAGAAAAAAAAAATGACCTTGAATTGGCCAGCTTTCGTGGGTGATGGCTTCCAAAATCCCGGGATATTTACTTTCAGACTGTGGGCTGTAATTGGAGTGGGAAACATTGCCTTCGCCTTCATTTCATCCTGTCTATATGATGAGATGACTTGGTCACTGATCTGCGCCCAGAAAATATTTTCCCTTTGTGGGTATGCCTTTAAGACAGAAACGTAAAAGGCTTAACCCCTTCCCCGGCAGAAACGTGTATACACGTTTTCACAAAATGTTCTTTTTTCAGTCGTCGACGAGTATACTCGTCTAAAACTTTACCTTCAAAAACCAGCTACATACGTACCATTCTAAATAATTTCATCTAGAAACTTTCTGAGGAAATACTATTCTTAACCACAAAAATGGTAAGAAAAAATAATTACAAACTGTTTTCATAACCAGCATCAAAAATACTATATAGAACCAAAATAAAAAAAATTAGTCTGAAAAAGAAACGTTTTTAACAAAAAAATTGTTGGGGAAGGGGTTAATGCCATCAGGCTGTTCCAGAGGGAGGGTAACTTCTTTGTTGTGCTTCTGTTGACACCTCTGTTCTCAAAGTTAATTACACATTTGGTTAATTGGTTTAATTAGTTAATTGCTTTGCTGAGTCTGGCTCCCTGGTGAGAATTGTGAGACACAGAGAACGGCCAATTCATGCCTGGGTATCCCTTTCATTGCTTGGAGCCTATAACCAAGGCACAAACTGCTTACCTTATTTATTTATTTGCTGCAAAAAGCTTTTTTGTTTCATTTGGTCCAATGCATGGGAAAGGGCTCCAGGGTGGTTAGAAGAATGACTAGTGGTTTGGGGGAGAGGCTCAGGTAAAAGCCAGACACCAGGGAATGCAGAAGGGCCCCTTTCAGGCCTCTGGGCTCCAAAGGCTCCTCCTGGCTGTGCTTGAGGGTGAGCCTTTCAAAGAGATCCTCACCCCCAGAGCCAGCCCAGCCTGCCGGCCTGGGAAGTCACAGAGATGGTCTGTGGGGGTAGAACCCAGGGCCTGCAGCTCCAAGAGGGCCTGGTTCAGGTTCCTCTCCAAGGCCAGGGCGGCCTCCCTGACATCCTGGGAGGCGCCAGCACGTCCTGGAAGAGAAGGCGGCCATCGCGCTGGTTTTGCATCTTTAAGATGCTCAGCGCCCTCGGCTTCTCCGCCAGCTCTCGGAAGAGGGGCCCACGCCCTCCAGAGCCACATCAGGTGGAAACAGAGCCCAGAGAGGTAGGTGTATGGGGCTCACAGATGCAGGTTGGCCAGGCGGTTGACCAAAGCCTCCACCTGATGGAATAATTCTGACGGATTTGGGAGCTCATGGTTGTTCGGCAATAAGGAGTGAGGGTAGGAAAAAACTGGCGTGTTGGCTGGTCCCAGAGGTGGTGACTGGATAAGATGCTGGAGGTGGGTCGGAGGCTGGAAGAAGGGACCCTGGTCTGTTCTGTCCAAATACTGTTGAAATGAAAGACTGATCCGGCACTCCACACTGCTTACTTTAAAAAGTTTTTTGTTTTGTTTTTTTGGTGGGGGGGAGGGGTTGGACAGGGTAAAACCCTATTTCTTTTTCGTTAGAACACAAGTAGAGCAAATGCCAGTTTACTGCCAGTTTCAGGTAAAAAAAAAATCTGCTTTTCTTAGGCAAAGGAGGATGTGAGAATGGCAGTTCCCAGAAGCAGGAGATGTGGTTGTGGGGATGGCTGTTGGCTAGGAGGTGATGAATATCAGCTGTGTGTCTTCTCACCTCAGTAGAGGAGACCAGAAAAATACACAGGATTCAGTGTGTCCATTCTGAACATTAATATTTCCTCAATAACTGACAGACATGAATTATTTGAGATTGCTGGTGGAATAAAAGGAATCAATTGGCTGATTAAAACTGTTAAACAGTTTTTAACCATAGATTATTCCTAGTCCTTTCTATTTTCAATTTTCCTGAAATCCCATTTTTCCAGGATGACTTTATGGGTGTTGGACAGATTATTAGCAATGTCTTGTTTGGCCTCCCGGGAGCAGATCTTGGAGAAGGAAAGCTCCAGGGTCCTTGATGAGTCCGACGCCGAGAGGAGTGAGTGGAGTGGCATGAATGTTTGTTCACATGATTCTAAGAAATCTGGAAAGAACGTGGCTAAAGATTTAAACACTGTTCATGGATTCTTTTAACTGGAGAACGGAGCTATCCATTAGGGATGATGTTGTTCTGTCCTAAGCGACTCTAATTGTTGGGTTTCTCATTTCAATCCGAGGGACAACAACTTCGTAAGCTCTTTTGTCAGACTCCCCTAAGACTCTTCTTTTCTTTCCTCATAATTAGAGAGCTTTTTGTCATCGTTAATCAGACTTTTCTTTGAACAAGCTTAACTGCATCTCGTTCCAGCTTTATTGACCCGTGTGGCTAATTGACCTCCCCCACTTCCCCCCAAAATATTGCTTTATGTGCTTTAAAGGCAATTATAGCTCTTTTCATTTTCAAAAATCTCTATTGCCAAATCTTTCTTTTAAAAACTATAATTATTTTAAAAAATCATAGAAGTCATGTAATAGTAGTACTCTTTGGCCTTGGTTTTTCCTTCTGAATCAGCCTTTATAGTACTCCCTACAAATCATACTTCGAATGACATTTCTCTTTAGGGTTGAGGTTTGAAAACCAAACATGAGACCAGCATCCCATAACCAGTGCGGAAGTCCATAGCAGAAGTTCCCATGCTTTGTGCCATGTGTGGAACTCTTGTTCATATGTCCCGATGTCAGAGGCCACTTCCTCTTTTTTTTTTAGGGAGGTTTGGGGAAGAAAGGCGGGTGGCAACAGTGTCTCATTGATGACTCATGTTCCTGTGTCTGTGAGCATCGGGTGCATGGAGGGCACAACTGTCCGGAACAGTGTCCTCAGGGCGGGCAGTTTTATGTAATGGACCCGATTGCTCCTTCTTTATGCCTTTCCGCTCAATTCTGGCAAGGTGTTCAAATAGCATCATAACCTTAGTGAGGAAACAGGAAATGAGGCCAGAATGCAAGCAGATAGACTAACCTGAGTTACAAATAAGTAAATGAATAAAATAAGGAAAAAAAAGAGTGGAAAAGAGGGTGCCTGAAGGCACGGAAAAAAAATGAGACTCTTAGAAACAGCACTGAGGAAAATGTGAAGTGTATAGAATTGCATTTAACAGGTTACTCTTGTTCTGGTTATTCCTGCCTTTGCTTGGAAGAAAAGGAGATGGCTTGGTGTTCAGCTCTAAAATGCTCTAGTTGTGAGTTTATGGGCCCAGACATGTTCAATATGAAAGATGTTTTAATCAGATGTTGGCATCTTGGCAGGGAGTATCCCAGTAAGCTCTGTGTAGTAGGGTGGGCTGTGTGAAGGAGAAGAGGAGGGGAGAGGAGCCCAGAGTAGGATGAGGTGGTTCCACTGGGCGGTTGCCCTCCAGGGAAGCCAGCAGCCTGGTGAGTCAGCAAAGACCAACCGTGGGTCCGAGTTGGTCGGATGTTGAAGAATGGTCAAAGGCAGCTAGAGCAGGATGAGGTGATGGATGAGCTCCCCGGGGCTGCAGGAAAGATGCAGTTATGTGGTTCAATTTCCTGTTGGCTGCACTTTAGCTAACAAAACAGCTAGATGAGCAAGGATTTGATGAGAATTAGCCAATATTCCCATGCTGCATTTTTACCCTGTGAAATTATTAACTTCAGGCGTAGCTCTCGTGGTTCGTTTTAACCTAATCACCTCTTCTGATTTTTGTTTTCTCGCCCTTATCTAATATTAAAGTAAGCTGTTAGTGCCAACTATAAACTAACATTAGATATTTGCCTTGAAGGCCAGTGAAGTCAGAGATAAGACCGAAACTGGGATCACTCCAGCTCCTGGTTTCACTACCTGGGGAACTATTAGGAGAAATAATGAAGGTGATATTAATCGAAACTGGCTGCCAGGCCACTTTTAGCACCGACAGTTTTTCTTATCTGATGTTCCCAGCACTCTGCTGCGAGCTAGAGATACTAATACTTCTATGACTACTGTGTCTACCAGAAATAGAAATAATGACGGCCAACCCATATGTGTGCTTGCTATGCACCACACACTATTCTAGGTACCACCTGCCACACACATAATCATTTCATCTTGCGAACTGTGAGCAATGTTGTTTTATATTATTTGTATTGTATAAAGAAGGAAACTGAGACACAGAAAGGTCACAATTGCCTAGGGTCACACACTACAAAGTAGCAGGGCAGGGATGCAAAGTTGGGGGAACAATGACTAAGGATACCAGGGGTGGGCAAACGTTTTGACTCGTGGGCCACAATGGGTTCTTAAACTGGACCGGAGCGCCGGAACAAAAGCATGGATGGAGTGTTTGTGTGAACTAATATACATTCAAAGTAAACATCATTACATAAAAGGGTACGGTCTTTTTTTTTTTTTTTTTAGTTTTATTCATTTCAAATGGGCCGGATTCGGCCCGCGGGCCGTAGTTTGCCCACGGCTGATATGGACTCATACCCTATCTTCAGAAAGCTGATAGTCTAGTAAGGGAGATGCCATTAAACACTCAACTGCAATTAAGTGTGGTTGGTGCCAGAGGGAAGGAGCAGGTAGCAGAGGTAACCAACTAAATGCAAAGGTCAGGCAAGGCTGCCCAGAAAGAATGTTAGATGAGCCACATCTACTTGGTGGGGATGGTAGGTGTTGGCAGAGTGCAAGGTAAAAAGTCTGCTGCGAAAGGACACTGCAGAATGTGATTGGGATGTTAAGAACCAGCTGGGGTGGGAGGTGGTTTGAATTAAGAGGCAGCAGCCATATTGGGGGAGGCCCCTTTAGGCACAGTCAAGAGTTGACTTTATTTCCACAGTGAAGGGAGACCATTGTCGGGTATTGAGTGGGGATGTGAATTGCTCAGATTTGGCTACTGTGGGAGAATTGGATGGGGCTTAGATTAGAAGCAGGGAGATCTGAGAAGAAACTCTTCAGTAATTGGCACGAGGAAAAATGGTTTCTTCAACTAAAGCTAGCACAGTGGCCATGAAAACGGAGAGAAGGATTTGAAAGCCAATAAAGAGATGGCGCTGATAGACTTAGTGGTTGACGGGAAGTCAAGGATTCAGGCCTGGGCAACTGGGCTGATGGTGGTGCCATGTGCCGAGGGGAGGAACAGATCAGGCCTTCTCATTGCTTTCCCCTTGTAGCCCTCTCAAGTTCTATGTTGAACCTGGGAGGTGGGGGGTGGGGGAGGGAGAGAGGCTTTAACTAATGGAGACAGGAGACTGTAATGAAGCTTCTGTAATGAACAGAGGACTCCTGCAAGACCTGTGTCAAGGATGATGTTGGTGCCTCATCCAGGCCTTCCTTGTGTGGAGCTGACTTGCTTGGAGATGCCTGGGCAGGTGCTTGAACATCCTCTCCTCACCAGATACACACTAGGGTCTGGCCAGTGAACTAACAGCTATGGTGATAGGACAACCCAGCCCCCTTACTTCAAGGTGAGGCCACTCTGTGGTTTGATTGATGGTGCCACAACCCCCTCACCCCATGGACTAAGCTGAGACTAGGTGTTCCTTGAGACCACATCATGTCTCCTCTTCTTCTGCTTTCTTGTCCCTCTTGTCTCACTGTGATGGACTGAACCGTGTCCCCTCAAAAGTCATATCAAAGCCCTAACCCCTAGTACCTCAGCATGGGACAGTATTTAGAGATAGGGCCTTTAAAAAAAGGTGACTAAGTTAAAATGAGGCGGTTAGAATGGATCCTCATCCAATCTGATCGTTGTCCTTATAAGAAGAGGACTGTCCAGGGAACTCGTGCACAAAGAGACAACCATGTGAAGAGGCAACAAGAAGGTGGCCACTTGCAAGCCAAGAAGAGAGGCCTCAGGAGAAGCCAACCCTGCCAACACCTCAGTCACTGGACTTCCAGCCTCCAGAACTGTGAGAAAAGGATGTTTTGTTGTTAAAGCCACCGAGTCTGTGGTATTTTGTTATAGCAGCGTGAGCTGACGTGCTTTTGCTGAAGAGGACTCCCCTGATGAACTACAGGCCTAGATCTTGGTCTCAGGCTCCACTTCCTGGAGCATGACCCAGGACTCCAGAGTGCCGAGGGAAAAATGTTTGGATTGTATCCCAAATGTATCCGTCCTTTGTTGATTATTTTATTAACTTGTTAGTGGCGAGTTAATACCCAGGAAGCAGAAAGGTTGACTAAGGGCTCCCAGGGTCAGTCTGTCCTGCAGCTGGTCCAGGCTTTATAGAGGGAGTGGAGCTCTGAGATTCATCTGGGACTAGAGCTTCTCTCTTTTTCTCGATGGCTCAGACTTTCACATCTTTTAAAAAGTCCATGACAATTTTAAGTCTAAGTTACAATACGTTCTAATGTACACATACATTAATTTCTTTTTGGTTAAAATCAGGAAGAAATGATTCAAAGAAATTTCAGGCTATGAGAACATAACCATCATTTTAAATTTCTAGAAGCCAAATGCTTTCCACGGGGTTATGCCCTATGGCCGTGTACGGGGGAGAGGAATGAAGGAACAAAGTGGCTTCAGAAATGATCTGGGGTCAAGTTCTGATTCAACCAGGTGTGGGATTTTAGGCCCTTTACTACACTCAGTGTTGTGGGTTTCCCCCCCCACCTCTTTTCTCTTTCTTTACAAAACCAACCAAACAAAAGAAGTCCACAACCTTTCTAAGTCCCCTTCCCCTCTAATTATTCTGACAGTTGAACCGGGGCCTTTCAGACAAAGGTGTTACAGATTCTCAGGTCTTCCCAGCCCAAACAGTCTCACCTGCTTGGCGTGGCAGGTGTGGCCACAACCCTCCCCTGTACCAGTGTTCACTCGTGAACTTCAACTCCACTTACCTTTCTGTCCTCAATTCCCCCAGCTGGCTCTGCGTGTCAAATAAACCTCTCCAAATAGACTAGGAGTCTGGCTGGCCTGCGTTTATTGAAAACCCATTATGTCCTGTTTACTTACTCTGCAGTCAGAGCCTGCGCATTCCTGATTCACACTAATGGGAAAGTTTTGGCCAAAGAGGGGCTGATTGTTCCTGTTCTGTTCTGTCCCATGATATCAAACATTCATCTGTGGAACACATCTGAGCCCTTTTGTCCCCTGGTAGCTGCCGTGTTAGAGAGAGAGAGGGACTGAGACAGAGAGAGAGAGCGAGAGAGAGAGAGAGAGCGCTGGGGCTGGGGGTGTTGTTTTTATTAGCTGGGACGCGTTATGCTGTGTTTTTGAGGAACTGTCAAAATCCCAGAAGTAAGCCGTCCAGTGTGCAGTGTATTCTCAAGCCTCTGCTGTCAGGGAACTGACCTAGAGACCCACGAGTCCTGAAACTTGTAGGAAAGCAGTCTTTTTGTCTGTCTAGCAGTTCCTTACACCTCTTTAAAAACTGTCCAGTGACCCCCATTCAAAGCGACTTGAGGCATGACTCATGAAAACTTGTCAAAATGTGGATTAGATGTGCTACTTTTTTTCAATGCACAATGACATCGGAGAAAGCAGTGTCGATGTGTTAAAAGCAAAGATTTGCCAGAGATCAGCAACTCTTAAAAAGTAAATTTGAGAATGGTATCCAAGCCTTGTTTATTTTCATATTGTCTCAGTATTGACCCTACTGTGCTTGGCGCATAGTAGGCCATGAATGAGTAACGAAATGTGGCTCCAAGACTCAAATTCTGGTTCATGCTCCAGCCAAAAGAGCACTATTAATCCTGCATCTTGCAAATGGTAGCAGGGTAAATTCTACACGAAATCACCTACTAACCAGGCACTGTGTACAGCTGACCACTCTCTCCCCCATTAACCGGTTCATTTCCTCACAGCATCCACCGCCCCTGAAAATGATCGCATACATTCCACTGTGGGGCATCTATTGTTTGTCTCCCCAACTAGAATGCGATCCTCAGAGGACACAAACTCTACATCTTATTTGTAAATGATCCTGGCCCCTGCCCCCAGACAGTCTCAGGAACATAGTGTTGGATAATAATAAATGGCTGCTGAATAAATAAATGTATAAATGAACGAATGAATGAATGCAGAGGATGTAAAAGTATCACCTAATTAAATCAGTATGAATTGAAAAGCAATGTGAGCACTGTATTGGTGGACCGCATCGGAGAACCAGATCTTGTTTTTAAGGAATTTATATGCGTCTTAGAAAGAAACAAATATTGACATCCCCTCTGGCCCTTACTGTCCCACTGAATACACTTGGCACCCCTGACTCCACAGTCAAGAGGAAAGTTATGTGCCATCTACTTCCTGGAGCCATAGATGTTCCTGTAGCAATAAAAATGGATTCATGCATGTAATTCCATATATGTCAAGTTCTAGATCAGGTCAAACTAATCCATGGTGACAGAAATCAGAGCAGTGTTTGCTTCTTGGGTAAAGAGGGGGTGGAATTGACCACAAGGGGCACAAGAGAACGCACTGGGGTGTTGAAAAGCTTTTCTGACTTGATTTGGGGGGTGGTTTACATGTGTGTATACAATGGCCAAACCCTATTGAACCATGAAGATGCATGCATTGCACGGTCTTTAGATTACACCTCAGTTAATTAATTAGTGGACAGTGCTTGAACTGAGCATAAAGCCCATTGCCATCAAAGCACACTTCTCCCCATTGGATCTTAATTTGTCCCCGGCCAGATCCCAGCGCCCCACTAGACTCCCCGTGCCAGAGCTGACACAGAGGGAAGATACAGTTTGGAAACTGCTAAAACATATGAGGGCAGGATTGAAAGGAACTGTAATTGAAGCACACACACACACACACACACACAACTTATTAGGCAGGGAAAATATTATTTCTCATCAAGAGTGGTGGATTTACATCTTGCCTGAAGTTAAGGACCTTAATCTCTCAGGAAACTGAGGCCCAGATGAATCAAGCAGTTTGTTCTAAGGCTGTACTAACTCCATACGATCAACCAATAGAAGAACTGGGTTTCACACTCCAGATTCCTCACCCCACCCTACATCTAAGCCCAGTTTCTTTCCATCATGGTATGTGGCATGGGGAAGGTTCCAGTCCCTGATCTATCACTTTTCACCTGTATAAACTCAAAGTAGTGTACTTAATGTGTCCATGCCTCTGTTGAGTGGAGATAGAATATTTACCTGTGTTTGGGACTAAATGAAATAAACTTCCCATCCTTTTCATTACTAATTCCCCGTACTTCCTCTCCAGACTCAGCCCTTGGTATGTTGACTCACAGGGTTGTAATATACTGAATCAGCTTTTCAAATAAATATTTCTGTTCATGAGAATTAATAACCCTAACTATTTAAGTGGAGATTTTAAAATTCCCTAAGCCTCTTTTATCCCATCCCCAGTGAACTCTGATCCAATAAGAAAATAAATCTCATAAACATGACAAACTACGGTACTACAAAGAAAGCAGATATATTTTTTTTATTAAAGAAAATATGTGAAAAGTTAAAAACACTTGAGTTTCTAGCAGACGCTCTGTCATCTTGGGCAGATCACTTACCCTTCTGTGCCTGTTTCAGAACCCCTTAGAAATGGCTTTCTTTTGCAAAGTTGAGAACCCCAGGAAGAAATACTTATTCCTTTCTTTATGTAAATACCTTTCAGGAAATGTTGAGGTCTTGCTTCAGATAGGTCATGTGGTCCCTTGGATGACCTTGAGGACATTCCAGTGCTGAGAGTCTGTTATTTGAAGGGTCCAATGGGGTCCCTGTTGCTGGGACAGGGATGCATCATCTTGTGCCTGGTCCCACCAGCAGCCCTTCCCTTTGGCTCTGTGTCACTCTGTCCCTGCTTCTCCCTTTGAGTCCAACCTGGGACAGCTCCTCAGAGGTGGACCAGAAAAAAAGAAAAAAAAAGGTGTTTTGGATCAATTTTGTTCATCAATTTATTTTGTTCAAGCAAAATAAGCCAGTCAGAGAAAGATAAGTATCACATGATCTCACTCATATTTAATTAACAAAATAAACTGATGAATAAAATAGAAACAGAGACATAAAAGCATGGAACAGAGTGATGAATTTCAGTGGGAAGGCAGAGGTGAGGGGGTGGGAGAGGAGCAATTAACAGAGGAACTTATCTGCATATATGCATAACCCATGGGCACAGACAATAGAGTGGGTGAAGGCCTAAGGAAGGGGGGGGCGGGGGGGCTAGAAGGGGTCAATGAAGGAAAAAAGGGGACATGTACACATGAGTGAGATCATGTGATACTTGGCTTTCTTTGACTGGCTTATTTCAGTTAGCATAATAGATCCAGAGACAGAGAAGCATAGAACAGCTTGCAGAACCTCAGGGAAGGCGGAGGAGAGTGGGTGGGTGGGAAGGGATCAACCAAAGAACGTGTATGCATATATGCATAACCCATGGGCACAGACAATAGAGTGGGTGAAGGCCTAAGGAAGGGGGGGGCGGGGGGGCTAGAAGGGGTCAATGAAGGAAAAAAGGGGACATGTAATACAGTGGGGCCTTGATTTACGAGTTTAATTCGTTCCGTTACAGAGCTCGTAACTCAAATTACTCGTATGTCAAATCAAAAGTGAACGAGTGAGACACATGTTGCTGGGCTGATGTTGTGGTATTCACTGTGACGTTCGCTGCGCCAACTAGTGGTGGGGTATCTGAAGCTGGCTCATAACCCGAATTTTAGCTCGCACGTCAAAGCAAAAAATCGGCCGAGAGACGGCTCATATCTCGAAAAACTCGTTAGTCGGGACACTCGTAAGTCAAGGTCCCACTGTACTTTCAACAATACAGATCTAATTAAAACAACAACAACAAAAAATCCAACCCTTTTCTCCTTGGTCCTGGGAAGCCAAGGAAAGTTCAGTATAGAAGTGAAGGAACTGATTTAGACTTCACACACACACACACTAAAGTGTTTTGTTTTTTAAAAAAATAGTGATGGAGACTTTAAGCCATCCAGAATCAAGTGATTGATGTGCCAACTGCACTCGCTTCCCACCACACAAGTTCTAGGCCCTGCCAAGAAGGGTTCTGTCATCAGACAAGGCCAGGGAGGGGAGAAGCACATCCGTGGTGAAAGCCGCACGAGGCAGACTGTCCCCAGCATCCTCACTGCACTCCCTGCAGCTGTAGAATGGCCCACAGGGATTCAATTTTATACATAAAGATGTGGCTCCCCTGGTGCAGCATTCCTGTTTTTCCTGCCGCGGGCTGCTGCTTTTTATTTCAAGGTAGAGACAGTAGGTTCAAGAAGGTCCACATCATACACAGGAACACACATACTTATGAATCTCCGTGAAAGTCAGGCCAAGCTGAGAAACAAACTCCAATCTTCCTCATTTATGTGGGACTGACCTTGACCAGGAAATTTGCACGTTCCCTTGGAAATATCAAATACCAGCATTCAGTTATTTCTGGGCCCATCTCTCAAGGGCAGGAGGTGGTGGAAAACTGGTGGATTTATGCTAGTCATATGCTTATGCTTTAAAAAATGACATCCTGTGGATTCTAGCAGAGGTTCTCAGATTAGTCTTTTACACAAACCAGGCCTTTTAATCACATGGGGAGAGGATTTGGCTTAAGGGCACTGTTTTTCCAGAAATGCCCCAGTAATTGCTGGGCTGTGACGATCACAAACTGAGTCCTAGGTTGAAGTTAGTGCTGAGACAAGCTTTGGAAATTATCTGGCCACAGCGATTTTATATATTTGCTTTGTTTCTCACAGCAAAGAACTGGTATATGGCAGGGAGGTCAGGTCTCACAGCCAAGTGAGGGCCCACACCTGCAGCTCAGGACTCCCTGTTGGGTGTCCTTGCACCGGCCGCAGATTTTATTTGTAGCAACTATGCATTTTAATCAGACCATCTTCCACAAAGCACATCTTGGTCATGTTTTCCAGAAGCCCATCTGACTGCCTTCACGCACATCCCATAGGGTGGGGGCATCTCCAGCCACGGCTCATCCTGTCTTTTGGACTCAGGAGGCAGAGCTAGGCCAGAGGCAGAGAAGGTGCCAGTTGATGCACCTTTCTCACAGCGAAGGTGAATGTGTGGACAGGGACAGTTAATCCTAGGTCCCTGCTAAAAAGGATAATAGTGCAGGATATTCATTGATTTGGTTCTGAATTGTATTTTCTAGTTGGTTTATTTTTAAGAATTCAGTGGAAACCTCTTTCAAATTTGGGAACTGATGCCTAGCAAAAAAACAGGTATTCTTTGTTTCATTTGCATGCACTTTGCAAAACTTTAATAGACTATCGAGAGTTCCACAAATTGGGCAATGAGTCAATAAACCATGGCAACTGCTGGCATAGCGGGGTATGGTGCTTTAGCTCTGGTAGCTGTCATCAGTAGTCAAATATTAGAGGAACGGGATCTTCATTTTAGGAGTGGCATGTGTGGAGTGAGGGCAACCCTGGCCAGGTTTGAGGACAAACCGGAAGACAAGAATATGCTGTAAAATCTTCTGTGCCTGTTAAGAGCTTCCACTTCCAGCATTCCCGGAATCTGGACTCTGAACTCCCTTCTCCTAACATGTTGGGTTACACCTCAGGGGGAAGATGCGTCTTTCTTCCCAAACATTTGCTTTATAACCAATGGACTGAAATCTATTAGCAAGGGAGTGGGGGGTCTACTTAGGGACAATGATCTTAAATAATGAAGAAGGAACCATGGACTGCAGAGCTCTGATTGAACCACAGCATTATGCCGAGCTCTATATGTTACTAATAAAACTAACAAAAATAAGAACGGCACTTGGCCCTACTTCATTCGCCAACTGGGAAATGAAATCATGAACTTGCTTTATGAGTGGCTGGCTAGTTTCCATCAGGTAGAATGCCAGACTCAAAAATAGGAAACTGAGCTTTGAAGTACATATCACAGAGCTTCTTCAATGAATTCCACATTTTACAGAACTCGAGTCTTGGTACTTGGTGGGGGGGTGGGGGGAGGCACTCGGTTTTTAATTCTTTTTCCCTTGTAAAATGTTTGTAAATTCCAAATTGCCGACTATTCTGCTGGGTTTTACAACTGGGAATGAAAGGAGCCCTCTTGTGGTCAGAAAGTGCACAGATTAAAAAAATGCAAACTGCTTGACTTGGGGCCAAGTTTCAGGGTTTAGTGTGAACTACCAGTGGTTCTCAACCTTCCTAATGCCACTACCCTTTAATACAGTCCCTCATGTTGTGACCCCCAATTTCATTGTTACAAATTGAACATAATTAAAGCATAGTGATTAATCACAAAAACAATCTGTAATTATATATGTGTTTTCCGATGGTCTTAGGCGACCCCTGTAAAGGATCGTTCGACCCCCAAAGGGGTCGCGACCCACAGGTTGAGAACCACTGAAATAGACTAAGGTGTTGAGGCTCAACTATGGTTTCTACCAATGTTTACCATTAGAAAAAGGAAAACACAAATAAAAAGGCAATGCTTTAACCTATAGTAAGAAAGAATAGAATGCCTAAAAGGAAACAGATTAGAAGTTGTAGCTTTAAGGAAAACAGAAAAACAATCACATTGTGTAGGTTTCACAACTGCCTCTCCCTGCCGGGACTTTAGTGTGGTTTTAAAATTTAGATGTTGCATCATCATGTGAAGAGCCCCATACAACTTGACTCATCGAGGCCATAAAACACACTGGGTGGGTTCGGAAGGCAGTGGACTCCTGGAGCTGGGATCAGAATTGGTTTGGTTTTCATCAAACCAATCATTTCTCTCCTGGCATTGATTTTTGGATAAAGAATTAATATTTGCGACACTTGACTTCTGAAAAACTGGTTCTTGAGTTGCTACCTGTTAAGGGCTGGCTTTGTCAAGGAGTTCTTGCTTTTCTTAAAGATCTTTTCTTTTCTATGTCGCTCCCCCTCCCCCCGCTTTTTTTTTACAGGAACAATGGTGTTTTTTCTAGTTTTGAGATAATTACTTGCTTTTCTTAAAGATCTTTTCTTTTCTATGTCCCCTCCTTTTGCCCCCTCCTCCCGCTTTTTTTAAAGGAACGATGGTGTTTTTTCTAGTTTTGAGATAACTACACTCAATAATAATAATAATAATAATAATAGCCAATATATTTAGAGCACTTATCATGTGGCAGGAACTGTTCTAAGTACTTTGTGAATTTACTATTGATCTTTCATAATAATCCCAGGAGCAGGTACTGTTATTGTTCCTACTCTACAGAAATGGAAATTAGGTACAGAAGGATTAAGTCTCTTTCTCTAAAAATGGCAGAGATAGGATTTGAACCCAAGCAGTCTGGACACTTACTATGCTGTTCTGCCCAAATGAGTCTGATCTCTGCTAACTTCAAATAGCTCTCGCGTCACATCTCCCCATTCCTATTGCCATTGCCCAGTTCATCATTTTCTCTTGCCTAGACCTTTCTCTTGGTCCCCTACAATTTTTCCTCCACAGTGCAAATGGGAAAAATTTTATAGAATACATTATTTATGATTTCTTAAACAAACCAACAAATCAAGTAATTCATAATTACTATAATCGAGTAATTATGAATTCATAAGCAACTGCAAAAAATTAAAAAATGAACAGGAAGATGCCATGTACTCTTGACCCAGCCTCCCACCATTACCCAGCCACAGTGTACTAGCAAAGTCAGGAAACTTATGTTTGTACAATCCATAGAACTTCGTTCAGCTTTCACCAGCTTTACAAACATTCATCTGCGTGTGTGTTCTGTGTAAAGGTCTATGTGATCTTATCACGTGTATGTATTTGTGTAAGCACAATCAGAGCCAGGATACAAAAGTGTGCCATCACCACAGCACTCTCTCATCCATCCCTTTGTGCCACACCCAGCTTCTCCTTCACCAACTCCTACCCTGTGGCAATCTCTAATCTGTTTTCCATCTCAGTCATTTTGTTATTTTGAATATGTTGTGTAAATGGAATCATACAAGATATGACCTTTGAAGATGGACTTTTAAATTTTTTTATGTTTTTGGACTTTTTTTTACTCTGTATTTCCCTTGAAATTGCTCTACATTTTTTTACATGTCTCAAGAGTTCCTTTTCATTGCTGAGTTGCATTCCTTGGTGTGGTTATACCACAGTTTGTTTAACCTTCCACCCATTGAAAAACATTTGGGTCGTTTCTGGTTTGGGGCTATATGAATAGAGCTGCTGTGAACATTCTTATATAGGTGTTTGCTAAATTACAAAATGTTTATGAAAGAAAGGAGAGAAAACCTAATAACCCATTTTTAAGGAGAATCAACTCAGTTTCTCCAGCTGAAAGTCACACTTGTCCATCTAATATCAGCCTCCCTGAGGACTTTTTATGGGAGCCTCCTCTAACAGATGAGCTCCTGGTCTCTGAGCTGGTCTCCTTTTATTATATGGCAACATAAAATGTGACATATCATTTATTAATATGGTTTAAGTCTTCATATATGGGCCAATGGCATAGAGCTTTCATCCTTGCCATTGTGCTCATCCCTAAAGTTTGGTGTGAGGATCAGTGGTTTTCTAAGAGCTAGGTGTATCCTAGACCAACATGTCCAATGTGGTAGCTGCTAGCCACAGGTGCCCTTGGGCCTGAAGCAGTTCCAATGGAGATGTGCTGTAAGTGTACAATACATACCAAGTTGAAGTCTTACTATGAAAAAAAGAATGTATATCATTAAACGAATGTTTGTCATTAGTGTATTTTTATATTGATTGCATGTTGAAATATTTGGATATATTGGGTTAAATAAACTATATTAAAATTAATTTTATTTCTTTTTCTTTAATATATTTTATTGATTTTTTTACAGAGAGGAAGGGAGAGGGATAGAGAGTTAGAAACATCGATGAAAGAGAAACATTGATCAGCTGCCTCCTGCATACCCCCTACTGGGGATGTGCCCGCAACCAAGGTACATGCCCTTGACCAGAATCAAACCTGGGACCCTTCAGTCCACAGGCTGACACTCCATCCACTGAGCCAAACTGGCCAGGGCTCTTTTTCCTTCCTTTAATGTGACTAGTAGAAAATATAGAACATAGCTCTTATGTTATGTCTGTTGGGCAGTGATGTCCAGTGACGAAATGAAAGTCTTAAAGCCGCTGTGTAACTTGCCCAAAGTTGCACTGTAAACACCCTATGTGACGTCAGCTGTTAGTGCTTGTTTTCATTCCAGTGACTACTAAATGGGCTGTGTGTCAATGTCATGATATTGTGATAAACTGTGAGGGTGGAAAGAAGACCTGTGTTTCTTCTGATGGAATGGTCAGGGCCTGTCCAAGCACTTTTAGATGATGGGCTCCATTTCAGGTGTCACTGATGGTGGCTTTCTGTGCCTCTTGGATGCCACTGCCATATGGGAACCCAGAGGAAACCTTGCTTCATATGTTCTACTCGGTTCAGATACGTTTAAACTGCCGTCTAGCTTCCACTTTTCTCCCATAACTTTCATTAGTCCTGAAAATAAATACTAGATGCTGTGCTTTTAAATCCATTTCAGAATTTGTATTGTGTCCTAAGTATGTCTGGTTCATAATGGCTATTATTGGCTCAATGTTATGCTAAGTGCTGTGCCATAAGTTATATAATTTAGTCCTCACAAGAACCCAAGTGAGGTACATGCTAGCATGGTTCCATTTCATAGATGAGGAAACGGAGGCTTACAGAGATTACATAAACTGCCCAAGATGCAGAGGCAGAGAGGGTGTATGCCGGAATTCTAGTCTTTGCTATCTGGCTCTTGAATTCCTGCTCCTGGTCACTATTATGCATTGCTCCTTCAGTGGGTGAACTGCTCCAAATAAAGGAATGAATTCATTACTCAAAGGAGAAGTTTTATTCAAAGGTCAAGAACTCATGTTCTAAGGCAACCCTGTAAAACCCATTTATAACCATTTATAAATGGTACAGTAATCACACAACATGCACCACCTTAACGGTGCTAGAAATTCATTCTTGGTGTCGATGGACTTTTCTCTCCTTCAATCCAATGTAGCGTTTTCAGGGGAAGATGTCTGTGGTCCATACTCTCCCAGAACAATGGTGAAGGTTTTGCTGTGTGATTTCAAAGTCCTAAAGTTTCTTCAATTTTACCAGTATATACATGCCTACTTAAAGCAGTTTGTGTGTGTGGAAGACTGGTATCCATGATCTACCACTTTTGGTGCAAGGTCTTGGATATGCTTCCACCTCCTAGGATGATCAAATCTTAGAGCTGAAAGAGACTGATTTTCTACTGGAGGGGTCTGCAAACATTGTAAAGCCCCAGGTAGTAGATATTTTAGACTCCACAGGCCATACAGTCTTTGTTGCAACTGCTCAACTCTGCCCTTGTAGAATGAAAGCAATTGTACATAATATGTGAACAAATGGGCACTGGTGTGTTCCAATAAAACATTATTTACAAAAACAGAGGGACATAGCAGCTTGCTTGATTTCAACTATGGGCTTGTTTCAGAATAAAGTCTGGAAATCAGAACTCCTGGCCATCAGCGTTTTTTCCTACTGTATTATATTTATTCATATTTAATTTCCTTTCCCACCTTTTAAAAAATTATAAAAATTTTAAAAAGACATAAAAATAATATAAAAATCGGCAGCATAGAACTATCACCAAGCCTAAGAGAAAAATTACAAATATGATTGAAGCTTCCTGTGTCCCCTCCCCAACCTCCATCTTCCAGGTAATCATTATCCCAGGTTTGTCATGCCCTTGGTAGTTACACATATATGTCTCCTGAAACAGCAACAATAAAACCCCACTAATTTTGGAGAAACATTTTTTTCCAAATAGCAAAAGGTTTCAAACCTAAATTACCATTAGCAGAAATAGTAACATTTGGTAAATTATCCAATTTTTTCCTAACATTCCTGTTTAGAGATTGTTTGTTGAAAAGCGATTGGTGACAAGATATGCATAGAATTTTTATTTTTTAAATCCAAAGCTACTTGTAAAGATGTGGGGCTGAACTTCCAGCTGAGTGACCTTGGGCAAATTATTGACCCTCTCTGTACCTCAGTTGGTAACATTGGAAGAAACACTAATACCCACCTCTTGGTGCTGTAGAGGGGGGTAAAGGAGTTAAGGTATGCAACATGCCAACAACAGTGCCTAATGCTAGCTCTTATTGCTTTTAACATCCATAATTTAAAGGTCAAACTTCTAAGCTTCCACATTGGGAGTGAAGCTAATGACAAGATACTGACCTAAACTGCAGTTGTTATTTAGGTAGATGAAGTTGCTAATTCTCTAGACTGAGAGCCAGTATACATTTGTAAATGACCTTGATAAGTCAGGAGTGTTGTTGAGAGAAGTATTTGCTGAGGAACAGGAACCCAGCCCATCGGTATAAAAAGAGATAACATTATCTACCATCCACTGATAGACATGAGGACATATCTCAAACTCGGGGACCCAGCGATCCAGCGGCTGGGTGACAATGCAGGCCTCACCACTGAGCAACATGATCACCTCAGGCAAGTTCTCAAACCTCCCCAGGCCTGTGTCCTTTGCTGTAAAATGTGGATAATGATAGACCTACCATTTAAGAGTGCTTAGCACAGGGCAACAAAGTTAGATGCAGCTATTACTGTTTGCTGTCGCGGAGATTATGACAAGGTACAAGTTTAGCGGCAACATGACTGGGTGGGGCGGGCTCCGTTTCCTAAATGAGTGTTCCTCAGAGATGCAATGGATCTGTGGGAAAAAGCAGCATGAGGCTGAGATGCCAGAAGTAAGACAGGGATGGCTTAGGAAATCCCTCTGCTTTGTGTCCGCTTCCTTTATGCTCCTCCTTAGTCCAATTTTGCTAGGAAACGTGTTTTTTTGGCTTGTTTGTGTCTGCTGTTAAAACTGATGTGAAGAAACCAGAGGCACAAAAGGATGCTGTAAAGGATGACAATTAGTTTTATGAGGAAAAGTTCAAGCATGTGGGGTTGTTTGGCCCAAAGAAAAGCAGGCTGAGGGAGGCTTAATGACTATCTTTAGATAAATGAAAGGTTTTAATGTGGGGAATGCGGGCCAGTTTTTCATCACTTTTGTGAAGGACCAAATTAGTGGACACGGACTTAAATTAAAGAGGAGGGATTTCACATCCATAGCAAGTTCTCAGAAGTCACGGCGGCCAACTGTTGCAGGGAGCTGCCAAGAGAGAATGGGAGTGGGCATCAGAGGTCTGAAGAAAAACAATACCAGAAGGATGTCATTAAGATGCTCTTTCTAAAACGCTCTCCTAGGCCAATGGGTCTGTTTTTCTCTGGATCTCACTCTAGGCAAAGAATGCAGAAAGTCATGCAATTTTCTTATTTTTAGCTCCAACAAACTGGTATTTTCTCACTGATATCTAGGGTGTTTATCAAATTCTTCTGTTCCTGGAGCCACTTTCTTCTGGCGTCTGTTCTCTGGCTCCATTGTGAGGCTGGACTTCCTGTGAAGACAGCCCATGGGTGCTTCTATCTAACAGACTTCCCTTCTCTTTACCTCTGTCTGCCCTCCTGGGACTCATGCTCACATCCACTCAAAGCTGCTCGCCTCCTTCCTCCATTCTCTAAATTCTCTGAGTTGCATGCATTTGTTTCTGTCATGTCTATTTCTATTATTTCTATTTCTAAGACTGGGAATCAGATGATGCAGCGACAGCATCTGAGGTCATCTGTCGTCACGTGCCTTTACACTTTGTAATCCAGAGTCTTACTTTTCTGAGAAACATTGCCGAGGTATATTTTCTATCTGTAAAAATGTACACATTCAGTCTTTTCATAAAAATAAAATTGCCACCTGCCCTGGCCAGTGTGGCTCAGTTGGTTGGAGCATCATCCGGTACACCGAGAGGTTTCGGGTTCGATTCTTGGTCAGGGCACATACCCAGGTTGCAGGTTCGATCCTGGGTCTGGGTGTGTATAGAAGGCAACTTGCCAAAAGTCAAGGAAAACTTAGTGGTTCTAGCCATCACTTCTAAGCATTCTAAGCCCTGCTTTTCTTCTTGCTTTCAAACAAGCAATTTGATACTGTGGTAGATTATAAAAAATGGCTATTGATTCTGTCCCTCCCTGCATTTGTGCCCTTGTAATGTCCCTCCCTGCATTTGGTCCCCCACCTATCAAGAGATGGAGTCTATTTCTCCATCCCTTGAACCTGGGCTGAAGTGACATGCTTTGATCAATGGTATGCAGCAGAATCAATCTCAATCTCTCTCTCTCTCTCTCTCTCTCTCTCTCTCTCTCTCTCTCTCTCTCTCTCTCTCTCTCTCCTTCTCTCCTGGGCTTTTAGACAACCAAGGTACCCTAGTCAACAACCAGCCAACTGCCAGACATGTACATGAGGCCAACAGGAATGAGCCAGCCTCTAGAGCACCCACCAACTGACCACAGAACCAGCAGCTGATTACAGATAAATGAGTGACTGTAGCTGAGAACACAAGTCACTGACCCACACAATTATGAGCTAAATAAAGAATTGTGATTGGTGAGGATTTTTAATCCTCACCCAAGGATATGTTTGTTGATTTTAGAGAGAGGAGGAAGGGAGGTAAGGAGGAAAAGAGGGAGAGAGAGAGAGAGAGAGAGGAGAAAGATCAATTGGTTGCCTCCCATACATGCCTCATCAGGGATCAAACTTGAAACCTAGGTATATGCCCTGACAGGGAATCAAACCCTCAACCTTTTGGTTTACAGGACGATGCTCTAACCAACTGAGCCACCTGGCTAGGGCTGGATGACACTATGTTTGAGATAATTTGCTAGGCAGCAAAAAAACAAAACAAAACAAAACAGATAACTATCTTTAATTTATTTCTCTTTAATTTGCCTAAGTAGATTAAAATTTTTCCAGTGTGATGATGTGCATGTAGACTATCTTGTTTTATAATCTGAACTTCAAGTTTTTTTTACCTTAATTATCTTAACTCCCCAAATTCACAGATGGGGCAGATTTTATTGTTTTATTGTATTACTCTTATGAATTACATCTAGTTACAAAAAAAGCTTATATTTTCAAGAGCCCAAAACTAAGGAACCACAAAGGTAAACCCCTGAAATTTTTAAACCCTTGAATTGTGACAGTTGGTTTTTTGAAGTCTTTTTTTTAAAATATATTTTATTGATTTTTTATAGACAGGAAGGGAGAGGGATAGAGAGTTAGAAACATCAATGAGAGAGAAACATCGATCAGCTGCCTCCTGCACACTCTCTACTGGGGATGTGCCCGCAACCAAGGTACATGTCCTTGACCAGAATCGAACCTGGGACCCTTGAGTCCGCAGGCCGATGCTCTATCCACTGAGCAAAACCGGTTAGGGCTCTTGAAATCTTTTAATCTAGAGACTGCAAATGCAGAAAAAAATCAGTCACCAGAAAGAAGAAATACATTTTAGCCCATAGGACCTCACCTAATACCTGTCCAAACATGTCACCTTAGAAATGGTTAAGTAATTTAAAATTACAGGTGATTCTCTCTCATTAATCTGAAAAGAAATTATCCTGAATATTTTCAGTGCTCTATTGGACAATAATAAAGAGTAATATTTTAGGGTATGGTTCCTTATGGCAGGATATGAGAATTAGAATCATCTTTCTACCAGGTAGTAGTAATGATGGGCATTGCCACCTCATTTATTTATGATATTTGTAATAAATGAATAAATTGGGAAATCAGAAGTGCATTTCCCAAATGGCATGGGCAAAAGCCATTATGAATGTCAGAAAATTTTAGGGGGAATGAGATTCTTTTAGGGAAAAACCCCCACCAAAACAAAAACCAGCTGTTTTTAAACATTAGACATGCAGAAAACCGAATTCCATCCTGACCATTGTTTCAGAAAGTTCAAGAGCTCCCAAGGGGTTCTTTGCATTGTAAATGCTTTTGTCCCCATTATGAAACCATGGTATCTGCTTATAAAGTCTGCTTTTAATTTTCGTCAAACCTGGAGGCAAGGTGAAAAATATGTCACCCTTTACTTTTGAACTTTAAAACGATGTAAGTTGGCCAGTGTAGAGAATGTTTCCACATCGGCGGTATTAATCTTCTCATCATAAAACAATATGAACTAAAATGTGTTTTGAAATGCCAACCAAAAAACAGTTTCACAAGAAACACGAGATACTCAGGCTAACTTATTTTATGTTAAAATAGGAATAATAACCGTGTGTGTTTGTGTGTGTGTGTGTATGCGGGTATCACCTTTTAATACACATCCCAGAGGCTCCTACGGTAAAACCATGCTTTCATGCTGCCATTTAACCAGGGAACTAAGCAAAACCTTACAACGAATTAGGAATAGAGTCAATGAAACCATTAAGCATAACTGTCGGATTAGCAAACTAATTTATGAGGTGCTTGTCTGTCTTTATTTTTGTTCTTTGGGTAAATGTTCTTCTAATCCTTACTTGAAGTTGGCTTATTCTTTTGAATGTTTGAGTTATAACGAAGGACTTATTACTAACCCTGACGCCCAGGGAATTCTATGGCTTTACAAGCACCTTGTGGGAGTAAGATTACTTTAACAAACAGCAATGGAAATTGTGGGTATTACACATCTGAGTGGAAATAAAATGGGAACTATTTTCAGTTTATGGGTGTTTATGTCCTTTTGGCGAATGGCTGCTTGCCAACAGCCTATGGTCAATGTATGTAAGATGTGACTTATTCAAAATCATGAGCACCCATTGTTGCCCTAACTGTTAATTTCTCACAGTTTAGATAAGTTAACATAAGCAGATGATGGAACCCTTGCAACAAATAAGGCTGCTGATATAATTACTCATCTGGGGGGATTTTTTTTCACAAAGTGTTTCCTCTGGGCCCCTGGGACACCTCTCAGCTACTGAAGAATTCCCGTTTTGGTGGATAAACAGAAAACAGGATCCCCCAATCCAACATTCCTTTTTGAGCTGTCTGCACTTCCCCTTGTTTAAATCTATTCTTAGTAGCTAGCCACTGATCTTATAAACATCTATGAAGTTCATCACGACAAGCCCAAGAACAAAGTAGGCGGCTATATTGATTGCAGAAAATATTTATTTATTCAGGCCAGTGGCATGAAAGGCTTTGTCTTGGGTCCTGAATGTGAAGTGTGGGCTTTGCGTGCCGTACATGGAGCCCAAGTTCTCTGAGTCAGTGTGTGCTTGTGTCTACACACAGAGGCAGGCGCCCACTGGCCTGAGAGTCACAACATCTACAATGGAGTTAGAAAGCCTTTACTTGGGGATGCAAGTTACAATTTAGGGACACCCTGGCTGCACATGTATTCTAACTTGATATTCCAGACCTGACAACATGAAATGTACACGAGTGTGGGGGACTGCTGTGGAATCAGTCTTGGGGCTCAGCCTGTCAAGTCATGCCAGTGTACAGTGAGACACTTTCCAAAGCTAATCAGGGTGTAGCAGTCAGGGTATGGAGGTCTGAGTGGTTTGAGACAGAGTTGTTACCTAAGTTAGTCTTTTGCTTTCTTCTACATATTTCAGTCATCATAATAGAAGTTAACTAGGGAATTAAGGGACGCTTCTGATTTAATGTTGATTCTGGCTCTAGTATTCCTCTTTAGGAACTTTGGGTAGGTCAGAGATTTCTTAAGCTTCAGTTTCTCTGGCAGAAAAGCATGGGTTTCCTTCTTATATCAACTCATCAGTATTACACAACAGGGCAAGTACAGGCCCACCACATCCTAGTCTATGGACGCTGGACTAAAGCCCAGCCCATACATAGAAATTGGCAGTGGATGGGGTAGCAGGGGTGGGAGTAGCAGATTCCCGCCATTCTCTCTCTCTCCAGGGGGTCAACAAACCTTGTTTCTCAATTCCAAGCATCCCCAAAGTTACTGACCTTGACCAATACCCTGGTTTGAGCCGCGCTGTCCCAGTTATAGTCCTAAAAGTCATCCCTCCCAGAACCCACCCCGCCCCAGACCTGCGCAAATCAGGGTTGTTATCCTACCTTGAGCTCTAAGAGAAATACCAAGCACAAAATAGTTCTGTAGTCAAAGAGTTTTATAAACTTCCCCTGAGGAAATATAAGGTGAGGATTCATTTTCCCTTCCCTCGTTCAATACCTGGCAAATGGCACATTTCCTATAAACCAATGTTGCATGGTCAGATCTGATTCCTGGAGTTTTACCTTTTCAGACTCTGCGATGGAGATTAAATGAAGGATGTTTATTAGGGCGTGTTTTTGAGATTGGCACCTATAAAAAAAGAGAGAAAGGAAGCAAGATTAAGGGAAGTCTAGTTGTGATGCAGTCCCTATAAAGGCTTCAGGCGACCCCACTAGGAGCTCTGCAACTGAGATGGCACTTCGGAGTTGACTTGTCTCGAGATAGAGGGCTTGGCCTTTATATACACTTCCCCTCTCCCCACTCCCGTCAGATGCAGCATCCAGGGAAGGGCAGTGACCTTGAGCGGAGAAAGAGCCATGGCACTTTCCATAGGGGGCGACACACTGAGGGTTTGGACCTGCAGCATTGTCAGCCGCTGGGGGAGAGCTTTCATTCTTGAGGGGGCTCTGAGCCACGTGACTCAGCCCAGCTTCCCAGGAGTCTTCCTTCCTGCCGGGCAGGAGATTATTAGATTAGCTGTTCTGCAGTAACATCTGTAGTGCATCAAAGAGCATAGACTGAACCCAATTCAGAAGTTGCTATATAGCAGATTCCTTTTTGGAATGAACTCTGAACAGATAATAATTCTTTTAATGTCAGTCTTCTGGATGCTAGCTCTGTTTACTGTGATAGAGACGGGTGGTAAAAACAGAAGCCTGGATTTAAAAGAAAGAAAGACAGTGGTGCCAGAGTACAGGCATAGTTATTATTAATTGATTGTTTTATTATTTTGCATATTTCCACATAATCATGTTTTGCATACCACCATTTTCTTAAAGTGTAAGCATTGCACGATTTAAGTACAGATTCCTGCCTGTGCTTTTGAGAGGGGCCTTGGAGCCCTGAACCTCAGGGGCAGCACTGAATGGTGGCTAGTGGTCTCTAGGGTCCAACTGCCTGGTTCAGTTTCTTCAATTCCACCACACACGGTTGTGTGACTGTGTACACCAGCTCCTCGGGATCCTGCCTCAGAAGGGGATTGGGAAGGTTCACTCCAAGGCACTGATCAAAATGGACAACCTCTATACCTCCCCTTAGCCCATACCTCCTGTATTTCATCTCTTTGATTTATCCCCTATCTGTTGACCTCCATCCTAAACCATCTGGAACCTCCTGTAAAGACTTTCTCTGTATCTTTAACCCATTGCTGATGAATCTGTTGTTCTCTCATAGAGACATTGCTTTCCTTCAATTAGGCTCTCTTCAGTGGGGGCTGCTCTTCCGCTTAGAGTATATGTGTCCTCACTCCCTTCTCCTGGGGCTAGACATTACTCCACTTCCCTTGGTTAAAAATCCTCTTTGTTTGGGGTCATGCCATCCACCTAATCTACCCTACACCCCTGTGGGTTACTGTCATCTACTAGCCTTCTAATCTCTCTCCAACAGTATGGAAAATTGGTACTTGGTTCATGGTCTTGTCTAAGTCACCATCTAAAACATCTAAGGTCAATTTGACATCCCTCTAGGTAACCCCAAACATGGTTATCTAAGCTCTCAGAACCAACAGCATTCACCTCCACGGCATTTGAGCAGACCTCTCACTAGCACATCCATCCTGTGCTCGTTGTATCCCCAGCATCACCTCTACAAGCTTCAACAGCAATTGCCTACTATTTTGGTTTGAGTCTCACAAGCAGCAGACCCTGAGGAGAGATTCCAGTACAAGTAGTTTATTGGGAGCTAATCTCAGTTCGGGGGAGTGGGGAGTGGGGCTGAGACAAGGCAGAGAAGGAAACAGAACATCCCTCCCAGTGCTCACCCTGGGGAGCTGGGGAGTTATCTGCCTATTTCCATCAGTCATTGGCTGAGGCTGCTTCTTAGGGACATAAACTGCCCAGAATTTCTGGCCCTGAAAGGGCCCTGAGCCAAAAGTAAGCAACAGGCTGGCCAGAGTAGGGGCATAGAAATAAGGATGACCACAGAGATTCGGGGGCCTTCAACACCATCTGCTTCACCTACCATCTCAGCTTTCTTGGCCCTGATTTTCCCCTAAATATGTCTTTCGTCTTTATTGAGGTCCCTAATCCCTTGACTCATTCATTTTCTGCTAAATTATCAGGCTCCTGGGAACCACAATTCCTTCCATATGGAGCCTGGGTCCCATGGCCAATATGAACTTCATTCTCTCAAGCCTCTCTACTTCATTGTCTCCTCGTTAGTTGTTTATTTCTCTCTTTTCTTTTTCTTCTTTAACCACAATTTGGTATTTCCTCAGTTCAGACTTTGATAGCTAGAAAGAATTGCCCACCCAGGCAAACTGGTGCCACTACAAATTAAGGGAAGTCTGTCTTCCCAGTTCATTATAGTTTTTCACTTGTTCTAGGTCAGTTCTCTCTTTAATAACTCACAGCTGCTTGCCTTAACTGTCCTCCCTCTCTCCTCAAGGCACCTTCTCAATTTTTATCCCTTTTAGTCTCAGTCCATGATTCAAGATAAATTTCTTAGTAGCATAGTTTATATTCACTGTCTCCATTTTCTCCTCCCACTCATTCCTCAACCTGCCCAGTGTGATTTCTGGCTTTCTTACCCCCATGGGATTCATGTCAACTGAAAGGACATTTCTAATCTCATCTTTCTTCTTAGCAACATTCTTTTGAATATTTCCTCTTTCTGGAACTTTCTCATCTCATTTTCTGTGCCATGAAACTGCCTTAGTTTTTTTTTTTTTTTAACCTTTCTTACATTTCTGGCCATTTCTTCTTTCTCTTCACAGTCTCACTGTCTTCTACCTAACCACTGAATGTTTGAGTTCTTCAAGGGTCTGTCTTGGGCCCTGTCCTTTCCTCTATATTATTTTCATAAACAATCTTGCTCTGGTGATGCCTACTCTGTATCTACAATGCAGACTTCTCCTTTGAGATCCAGGCTCATGTGTCCAGCATTATGCTTGATATTGACTCTTGAATGTCTCTAGGATACATTAAAATCGATATATTTAGAAGAAAACTCTTGATCCTTCCTCAAACCCAGTCTACTTCCAGTGTACTTCACTTCAGCAACTCACCCAAATGTGTGCGGACTGGGAATCTAGGAGCCAACTTCAATGCACATTTCACCTTATCTTACTGAATTTCACTTCATAAAAAATCTTTGAAATCATCTCTCTCTATTTGCACCACCACCACCATCTTTTATGAGCTATAAGAATTTCTTCCCAGGATTACAGAAATGGGTCTATCTTGTCCTCTCCTGATTCCTCTAATCCCTTCAGTGAGCTTGCAGCTAAAATCAACTTGATGAAATACAATTTGATCATGTGATCTCTACCCCCAGTCCTTCTTCAAATTCCTCAATGTTTTCCTAGTACTTTGCAGTTTAAAAGTGCCTTCCTGCAATGTCTTGCAAGGTCCTACCTGGTCTGGTCTTACTTATGTCTCCAGCTTCATCTTTCGCCACACTTTACCTCACTCTTTCTGCTCCCTCCACATCAACTATTTTTCATCTTGGCTTGGAGTTTTGCACATGCTGACCCTCCTCCTGTCTCTTCTCCAGTTGAATTCAACTTGTAGCTTGGAGTCATGTCTCTTCCTCAAGGGACATGTCCTAATTGTGTTACTTCAGCAAGGAAGGCGTCAGTGATACCTTAGTAGGTCCATTCCTCTCACTATAAACTCTTATTGTACCATGTAAATCTTCATAGCATCTATCACAGTGGCCATTTTACATTTATTTATATGATTTTTAAAATAATGCCTGCCACGACACCAGATTTTAAGCTCCAAGAGGACAGGAAGAATGCCTACTGTGGTGTAAGGGTACTTGGCAGGTGTTCAGAAAATAGCTATTGAAAAGAATGACAATTAATGAATGACTACTTTCCTATTTCCTAGAGAACATAGCGTTCTCAGATGTGAAAGCTCATTTTCCAACCTACATCTCAATGAAACTGGAGTCTCAGAAAGGTCTCTATTCAAATGGCACCCTGAATTGTGCTCTTAACCAATGCCTTCCCGATCTAATTCCAGTTATTACGTCTTCCTCATGTCTCTGTTGCTCCCTTTTGCCTTATTCCTTTCTTGTCCCATTGGAAATTAATATTTTCAAGTCCCATTAGAAAAAAAGTACCCTCCTCAACCTTGTGTTTTGTCTATTTTTTTAAACAAAGTCCCCATATCATACCCTGCACTAGCAATCTCTACTTCTCACTTCCATGTGCTGTCAGCTTCTGTTGTGACTTTGAAATGAAACTCAAATATTTCTCTTGAACTTCAAACCCAAATTACCAACTGGGGACTTGATATATTTATTTACCTACATGTCTTAAGGCAGGGGCCCTCAAACTTTTTAAACAGGCGGCCAGTTCACTGTCCCTCAGACCGTTGGAGGGCCGGACTATAGTTTTAAAAAAACCTATGAACAAATTCCTATGCACACTGCACATATCTTATTTTGAAGTAAAAACAAAACAAAACGGGAACAAATACAATATTTGTATTTGCATGTGGCCCGCAGGCCGTAGTTTGAGGACCCCTGTCTTAAGGCTCTTCTACTTGAACCTATATCAACCCTTTCAAGCCTGCTCTTCCCCTACTCCGTTAGCATTGGCCAAAAGTACTATCCAGTCACCAGAACTAGGGTTCTGAAAGTTATATCACTCTTCTTCAACTTGCTCTCTATCCTAATTAGTCAATATGTCTTATCTAATCTGTTTGTTAAATGCTTCTGGAATCTCTGCATTAATCAGTATTGATACTCGTCTTTAGTTCTCTGATAATGATGAGAGGCTCCAAGTGGTCTCCCAGGTTAGCTGACCTTATAGATACAGTGATCTTTCTAAAGCACAAATTTGATCATGTGTACCCCATTCCCCTAATTCTAAGACCACCCCCACCTACGTACACACACAGGCACCACGATAATCTCAATTCATTGGCATAACAAGCAAGTCCTCGCACGATTGTATCTTCAGCTGCATCTCCAGCTGTTCCTCCTATTGTCCCCTCTGCTCTAGATATTCCCCAGTCCGTGCTAATCTTGTAATGCCTAAATGTTGCACTGTTTTATGCATCTGTGCCTTTTCATATACTGCTTCTGCTCCCTACATCACCCTCCCCAGACTTTTGGAAGAATGGTTAATAGCTACTTGTTTTATACAGCTTTCCCTGACCTTCCAAAAGGGAGCTGAGCACTCTATCTGCTGTGCTTCCCAATGTGCTACATGCATTTTCTGTTAGAATGCATGCTGGCAGAGGGGCTGCATAGGGTTGTTCAGATCGTAGACTGACCAACTCTAGGGTCCTTGTTCACAAAATGGTGCACAGTTAGTGCAGCCATACACCATGGCTCTGTTTTTTGCTGTTTTTTCCATTCTTTGTTCTTAAGGATCAAAGGAATGGAGAAGGGATAAAAGGAAGATTAAAAATGTAGTCCATGGACTATATATGCACTGGGTGCTATGTTAACTCCAGAGGAATGAAGGACATGCCAAGTCAGAATGTAATGCAGGGGCTTAAGAGAGAAGTTTTGTTGTGCTTTGATGTGCCATGCTTATGTAGCAAATTGTGCAAGAGGTATGATAAGAGGGTGCTGGCTCAGGGTGGTGATGTTTGTGCACTACACCAGAACAGGAAGAGTTGGAAGAATATAGACTTTTTTTTTGTTAAAAGTTAATGTTCTTTAAAAAAATATCTTTATTGATTTCAGAGAGGAAGGGAGAGGGAGCAAGAGATAGAAACATCAACGATGAGAGACAATCATTGATTTGCTGCCTCTTACACCCTCCCCCCCCACCCCCGCCCCGACTGGGGATGAGCCCGAAATCTGGGCGTGTGCCCTGACCGGTAATTGAAATGTGACCTCCTGGTTCATAGGTTGATTTTTGTTCATCCAGGCAAGAACATAGACTGTTTAAAAACTACTGAAACACAATTGGCCACTGAAAGAGAAGTAGGGATTCCCCGTATCTTCATAGAGTTGATGACTGGTGTTAATTGTAGGGATCTCTCAAATAAATTTTCCCCAGGGCTTGAGTACCCTGCCATGCACAGACTGGGGCAAGCACTGAGGGAGCTTGGGTGGCTCATTTGTTGATACATTTGCCCTTCCCCTCCCACAATAGATTGAGAACTTCATTCGGCCAGGCATTGAATCTTTTTATTTTAAATCAGCAGTAACATAGGTAATACCTGGACCACAATGAATACATCCCACACCCATTCTAGCCAGAGGGAGAAAAGAAAAGGAAGGCTTATGCACTGTGGCAATTACAGTAATAATAGTAATAGGTAACACTAATATAGTGTTTACTATGTGCCCCTCACTTTTCTATGTGCTTCATATATATTAACTCATTTTATCCTTAATGCACTCATCTGCATTTAGCTATTATAATAACTTTAATTTTACAGATAAGAAAACGGAAGCTAAGAGACATTTAGTAACCTGGCCAAGGTCACACAACTAATAAGTAGTGGAGGGTCTTCTATACCCCACTATTGTGATGGCAGTTTTAATCTTGAAGAGAAGTTGAGGATTTTACATGAGGCAGTTTCATGCCTCAGGCCCCCCGAATCTCAGTAGTTTTGTGTTACGTATTTTCTGTTTTGGCTTTCACCCTTGGAAACCCATTTGTAAATGGAGACAATCATCTCTGGGCCCTCATGCACATCCTCTTTTCTCTGAATAGTCCTGGCAGGGGTGTGGCGAGCAGAGAGGGTGAAACTTCTCATGTCTCCTGGGCTGCCTCCCTGTGCCCTGGGGCTGGGAGACATTAGGGAGACTTTTCTCCCTACATTTTCCCCACTCTCTTTTTGGTTTTGATACTGCTCCTGGGCATATGAGGCTTGGAGCTACCTTCCCATCTTTGGAAACACACAGGTTTCTCTGGGAAACACTTTTCTTTTTCTATTTTTGTTGGGGAAAATCACTATTTATTTGTGTTTTTAAAATACGCTTCTCCATAGTTGGTCATTTACAAACTTTCAACATTGTTCAATGTTTTCTTCAGAAATAAGAGCTTGTCTTCTTTTTTTATTGTTTCAAGTATTACATATAGTATTACATATAGTAATCTCCTTTTCCCCTCATTGAACTCTCCCCAGCCACCTCCACCCCACTCCTGCATATACACTCACCCCCCTAGTGTCTGTGCCCATTGGTTAGGCTTGTATGCGTGAATACAAGTCCTTTGGTTGATCTCTTACCCTCCCCCATGCGCTACCCTGTCTTCTCACTGAAGTTTGACAGGCTGTTCAATGCTTCTCTGTCTCTGGATCTGTTTTTCATCAGTTTATGTTGTTCACTATATTCCACATATGAGTGAGATCATGTGATATTTATCTTTCTCTGACTGGCTTATTTTACTTAGCATAATGCTCTCCAGGTCCATCCATACTGTTGTGAATGGTAAGAGTTCTTTCTTTTTTACAGCAGCATAGTATTCCATTGTGTAGATGTATCGCAGCTTTTTAATGCACTCATCTGCTGATGGGCACTTAGGTTGTTTCCAAATCTTAGCTATGGTGAATTGTGCTGCTATTAACATAGGGGTGCATAGGTCCTTTCTCACTAGTGTTTCTGGTTTCTTGGGATATATTCCTAGAAATGGGGTCAATTGGGAGTTCTCTTTTTAATTTTTTGAGGAAATGGGTAACACTTTTCAATATGAGTTTTTCCTCCTCATTTGTTTAAGGAGAGTTGATACAATTTATTTTTTTCTAGCTATGCATCTTCATTTTCTTCATTGGCTTTTGTAAATTGAGCAATTTTATAATTTGGGTCCATTTTGTCATCTCACCCCAGAAGTCAAATAATTGTATTTCTTCCAGAAATATTCATAATTTACTTTTCCTTTTTACTTAGCTGCATTTCTCTAACTTGTGGAAAGAACAGAAATGCAGACTTATGAGGTCTGTGAGTCTGAAGTTTTCTGGTAAAGGCAAAAAAAAATCACACCTGGCTTCCATTTGATGAGGATTCCATATGCTTTGTTATGTTCTTGGGATCCCCAATGGGCTTTTAAACATATAGAAGTTAGCATTTTTGTTAGATCATATTAATAAATAAAAGCTTTGCCTTTCTATTCTTGCTCTAAGGGAGAAAACAGACATTGTGTTTAATATGCACTGTACCAACAACCATGGCAAGAGTCCAATTCATTCCTCGATTTAGATCTTAAAGAATATTTAGTTTAAACTCCTTCCCACTTTCTGCCACCCCTAACCCCCCGGGTGTTTTCTAATTATGTAGCTAGTTGGCCTAAGAGGCTGCCGATGCTGGCCTGTGCTGTTCCTCTTGTAGGATTTGTCCTCCTGAAGGTATTCGGGGTTCTTCCATTTCCTTTCTTCTAAAAATAGAATGCGTGTGCTTACAGTAATTTAGACTACACTTACTAGTACATGTTAAGGGAAAAAAGTCCATGGATTTCTGCCCTTAACTCTCTCTAAATTACATTTGATTTGGTTTTTAAATGGTGCCAAAATAATGCATGATAGTAAAACCTCACTTTCAAAATGGAGATTTGGTACATTTCTAGTGGTGGTAATAGAACCCCCTTTCTAAGATTTTTTTTTAAAGAATTGAATAAAAGTATTTTTCTAGGATTAAGTCAAGTCCTATTTGGAAGTAAAACTATGGGTTACATATGGCTGGATTTCAAATATAAGGTATTTCAGTCGATTGCTTCTATAAATCACTTATAAGGTCATGTGTCCTAATTTTTAGTTTGGAAAATATGGTCCCTATCTTTACTTTCTAGAACTGCCAAAACAAATGACCACAGGCTGGGTGTTAAACAACAGAATATTAATTTTCTCACCGTTCTAGAGGCTGGAACTCCAAGATCAAGATGTTGGCAGGTTTGCTTTCTTCTGAAGTGTCTCTCCTTGGCTAGTGGAAGGCCACCTTTTCACTGTGTCTTCACCTGGTCTTTCCTCTGGGTGCGAACACATCTGTATCTCCAAAACAAACATATTGTGAAGTACTCAGTATTAGGACTTCAACATACAAATTGCGGGGAGGGCACAATCCAACCCACAGCAGTCCCTCTAGGACTAGTCATCTTCTGGCCCCTGGTAGGTTCTTGTGATCGGAACTTCTTCATGATGTTCGTTACAACACTGAAGAAAGATGTTGACTTCAAGGGGTTGACACACTGCTTGATACCATCAAACAATACAGAATTTTAAAATCACCTCCAAAGTATAATAATATAAGTATATTATTATTATATTAGAGGCCGATGCACAAAATTCATGCAAGGGGCTTGACCCCCACCACCACGGCAGCCGCCGCCTCTGCTCGGCCCCCAGCCACTGCAGCTTCATCCGGAAGGATGTCTGATCTAATTAGCATATTATGCTTTTATTATTACAGATAATACATACATAAACCCCTAAGAGCCTTTAAATAAACAATAGCTTAGGCTAGCAATCCCAGAATCTTAGACCACCAACTATGATAAATGACATCTCAGTACTTATCAATTAGTTAAAGTTTATAAAGTGATGCACTAATCTTTCATCAGCTATTACTTAAGCAGGCACGTGGCTCTGCTCGGAGAAAACAAATACTTTACCCTCCTGTCCTGGAAGAGTTCATAGTTTAGGATCTCAAAGATTTCAGATACAACAGAGTCACATATTTGAGTAAGCCACGTATCAGCTGGGCTACCCGCCATGCACTTCTTAGATCTAGGTCAGATCTGCTCAAATCCCTTGTCCACCAGACAATTGGAAGTTCGAAGCTGTTATCCAAACTCCTGTACATTCCTATGGCACACTCCCAGTCATGTCTGCTTTCAGCTTCCAGCTCTACTGCCTTCTTATCCTTCACTCTGTCTTTCAGCTGTTTCTTTATCTTTTCCTTGGCGTCAACTCAAACATAGGACATAAGCCTTCCATTTTCAAAAAATTTGCTCCTTGCATTAAAATACAGCGCACATGATGCAGCTATATGCAGGAGATTTCTGTTGGCGATTTGATGACAAGGACAGTTATATTGCACAGCCATAGAGTGATCACTTTAAAATTGAATACTAGACCCCCTGTTCTTCAAATGTTTCTTGGGCATTTCCGCCAACTCTAATTCCATCCCTCTACTCCTTTGCTGAACTCCTTTCTATTCTTTCTTCTCCTTTCCTTCTCTCATCTGCCTCATTTTTCTGCTCTCCCTGACCTCACTCACTCCATCCACCTAATTCTCTTTCATTAAATGAGCAGAGCAGTTGAACTCTCTTTCTGTAGTTTGCTTCAAAATTACACCCTCAGAGCTTCACCTTCGACCCTAACTGGCATCAAGTATTTTCTCATACAAACAATTCCATCCCAAAGTGAGCTACTAGAGTTAAGTGGGAATAATGAGTTTTCTTTTTATCCTCACCTGAGGATATGGTTAATTGGTTAATGACGAGAGAGAGAGAGAGAGAGAGAGAGAGAGAGAGAGAGAGAGAGAGAGAGAAAGAGAAAGAGAAGAATATCAATACGAGAGAGGCCGCCTCCCATACATGCTCTGACCAGGGATCGAATCCAAAACCTAGGTATGTGCCTGGACTGGGAACCAAACCCACAATCCTTTGGTGTATGGGATGATGCTCCAACCAACTGAGCCACCTGGGCAGGGCAATGATGAGTTTTCTCACCCTGATACTCATGAAAACAGATTGAACGTTGGCATTTAAGTAATACAGATTTGTACACATTCTGTGAAAATTTAGGAAAAGATGTAACTTACCTTGTCTACAAGTGTTTGAACCTTGTCACAGGAGGAGGTGACTTTGGGGAGGGTCTCAGGGGATGAAAGGGAATTCCCCCCTTCCCCCATTCCAGAATGAGTAGCCTCAGGGTGACACTATCTGTTGCTGAATGAAGGGCTAGCCTATACAGGGAGAGAGAAACGGATGGAAATGACATGAATAATGTGGAATGGGGAAGGTCTTGGGTGCATAGTGGGATACATTTTAGATTTATATAGTTAATCGTTACAGCAGTTGGAGCCAAAACATACATGGGCTCATTTTCTGTCATGTAATGGGACTCACCTCACATGTTAAGATTTTAAAATGCTTTAAAAGGGACTCTTATTTTTATTAATATTAAAATTATTATTAATTTTTATTTCTTTTTCATATGTTTAAAAAATATTTTTATTGATTTCAGAGAGGAAGGGAGAAGGAGAGAGAGATAGAAACATCAATGATGAGAGAGAATCATTGATCAGCTGCTTCTTGCACTCCCCCTACTGGGGATGGAGCCTCCACTCCCCCTACTGGGGATGGAGAATGTGCCTTTGACAAGGGGAAAATATGTAATATTTTCAATAGTAAAGATTTAATTTTTAAAAAAGTTTACAAGAATATGCTGGAAGGAATAAAAGGTAGATCTAATTTAGCAGAGGATCAAATAAGTGATTTGGAAGATAAGAAAGGGCAGAAACCAGGTTATAATGGTTCTTTATTATCCATAAATGAGTGAGATCATGTGGTGTTTTTCTTTCACTTCCTGGCTTATTTCAGTTAGCATAATGCTCTCCAGTTCCATCCATGCTGCTGCAAATGGTAAGAATTTCTTCTTTTTTATAGCAGCGTAGTATTCCATTGTGTAGATGTACCACAGTTTTCTAATCCACTCATCTGTTGATGGGCATTTAGGCTGTTTCCAATATTTATTTTTTAAAATGGAGATATAATTGATATACAACATTGTATTGTTTTTAGGTGAACCACTTGATATACATATATATTGCAAAATGATCACCACAATAAATTTAGTTAACGTCCATCACCACATAATTACAATTTTTTTCTTATGATGAGAATTTTTAAGATCAACTGTCTTAACAACTTTCAAATGTACAATATAGTATTATTAACTGTATTACCATGCTGTCCATACGTCTCTAGGACTTACTTATAAGTGGAAGTTTGTACCTTTCGGCCACCTTTACTAAAAGGGACACTCCATGACTCTCCTGAAAAGTTGTAGTTTGGACTTCTGGCCAACTAAACCTCAGGGGTGTTCTCAACTAGAAAATCAGTTGGCATCTGGTGGTCATGAACCCCCAGGAGCAGGCAGCCTCTTGTCTATCTTAACTCCTTTGCTGCCAAAAGTTCAGCAGAACTGGAGCAGGGAGCTGGCTAGGAGGGGATGAAGCTGAGGGTGATGATGGGAGAGTGAGGGGTTTGTTTATCTGAGCAGGTACCTGTTTATCTTTACAGCCATATCTGAGGCTATAATGGGCAAGAAAAGAAATCCAGAAGGGACCTTTGTTTATTTAAACACACACACACACACACACACACACACACACACGCACACGCACACGCACGCACACACTTAAGTAAAAGCTACAGACCATAAATTGCAGAACTCTAGACTGGGTCATAATTATGATGTGATATCTTTTCAGAAAGTTTGTTCTGGTGGCTGTTTTGAATACTGGTCTCACAAGTTGCAGGGGATACTTGTACCCCCCACCCCCCCAAATGCAAGAAAATATTAGAAGAAAATTTGAGGCAGATGTGGTCCTTAATCTGAAAAACTTTACTGATATTTAATATGCTAGTCCAGAGTAGGACATGTGTATAATTTATAAATACATGCACACACACTGGGAACGCCTGCTCAGAAATATTTTACTGATGGGGACACAATTATGGCCTTTTGCTTTGACTTTAAAATAAATGCCAGGCCCTTTTAGATTTCCTTTTTTTGTCCGTGTCGGGTAGAGAGGAGGGGGAGATGAGGCAGTTGGAGAGAAAGAGGAAGAGGGGGGTGGCAATGGTATTTAGAATTTGGTGACTGATGGCTTGGGAGTGAATCTTTGATCAAACCCTTCCCCCAAGTGGAGAATGTATTGCCTTTCTAGTACTTTCACAGAATGGCCATCATTTCTCTTATGGCATTGGAATCTAACTAGTTACTTACCAGTCATTTGCCTCTCACTGTTTTGAAGCTGTATTCCTAGCATTTATTTAGTAGATCCTAAATCAATGTTGCAATGGGAATATTACATTGTTTTAATAACTGTAGTAAAAAAAAATGGAAGAGATGCACATTTTTGAATAAGAGAATGTTCCATATAATGGTTGGCACTCTAAGCCTTTGCTTCAAGAATGAAGTAAGAACCCACCATGATATGCTGTGGTGTTAGGGTTGTTAAGACTGGCTGTATGATTCTGTATTACAGGTTGGAAATGACTAGAGTCAGTCATTTTTTGGTACCTGCTATTCGAAATGTATACGGTGATTAGGGACACTATTAAATAATCACAAACTATAAGAGTCCAGACGAGTCTTAAGACTTATTTTTTCCTTATGAGCATAGGAGTCAAAATTAGCCATAAAAGTTATTTTCAAAGCATTTCCTCTTGGATACCTAAGGAATGCTGACTATTCAACAAACATTAGTTGCATAAAGAAGATTTTTGGTCCCATGATCTGGCTGAAGGTTTGCACGAACAGCTGCTTATCTCATGAATGGAATTTCCTGTTAATAGTCTTGCAGGCTAATTGTTCATCAGAAGTATAACAAATGTCAACAAATACCCAAATGTGTTACATCCTAACATTTAAGAGACAGCAGAAATAGTTCGGATGTTTAACGTGGTTGTGCTTTAAAGGCAACAGCACAACCTTTAGCTTTTGTCACAAAGTATTCTTGACAGGATTAATGCTATTCAGGGGAACCATTTGGTTTGAAATCCCTTCCTTTTAATTCACAACAGCGCATGGCTTAAGATAAGACACGCTAAGGGCAGAAACACAATTGTAGCTTCAAATAGCGTTATTATAAAGCACTATTTTTTAATGGATGCCATATAGTTTTCATCTCAACTACATATGGAAATAAATTTTCTTCGGACAAAAATGCTACAAATGAACTCAAATTTCTTGGCAGCAACCACAAACACAACTTTTTTAAAAAAAATCCTCACCCATTGATTCTTAGAGAGAGTGGA